CTGATAATCGATAGGTCGATATGTCGCCGGATGTAGGGAAGCACAGGGAAGGCAAGAAGTAGCTTCGGCCAGGACTTACAAGAGCTTCTTATTTACGATCAGTTTTTAAGTAAAATAAGACAAAATTGTTGAAATTAAAAGCTTGTTAAATTATTCCTTTTTCAATGTTTTTCTTGAGATAAAAACTGTTGACCCTGTTATTAAACAAAAGAGCAGGTTTAGAAACTTGAAGCTATTGTGAACTTTTGGGGTACATAGAGAAAGTGGAGAGTTTATTGTTTCCACTTTGAAACCGTAATAAATAATCTTTCTAGAAATGTCAAATATCATAATAAATAGCTATTTCTTTAATATGTTCAGTTAGAAGTTTAGGTTAATTTAACGTTTAAGATGACAATGGTGCCCAACCTGTGACGCTCAGGTGCCTCCGTTAGTAAATAAAAGGCGGCTGAGAATTCAATCTTGATGACACTTGTGTGGATTCTGTTCTACAGCATCGTGACTCTATCCTCCGTGAGTATTCGCTTTGTCGGGTGTGGTTAGGTTTTCTTTGCTGCTCGTTTTGACTCATTCCGCGTGGGGTCGGTTGATGTTTAGTGTACTTGTTAGCCGCGTGCTGCCTTTGTGCAGCTCTTTTGATGTACCGTTTAGTGTTTCTCGTGTTTGAGAATAGTTTCCTTTTTGAGTAAGACATCATAAGTAACCACTCCGTAATTTGCTCCGATAAATCTTTGTCGTTGCCCCATTGATTTATTGCAGTACTACATGTTGAATCTCACGTGACAATTGTTGTCGGCCTAGGTTATGGATTCCGCTGAGGAAACTAGGCGTAAACGCCTTCAACATTTATTGGGGGGCAGGCCGGCGCCTGGTGCGTCTGGAACCAATGGTGCGTCTGGATCCAATGGTGCGTCTGGATCCAATGGTGCGTCTGGATCCAATGGTGCGCTCGGATCAAATGGTGCGCTCGGATCCAATGGTGCGCCCAATGGTGCGCTCGGATCAAGTGCGTCTGGCCGCTCAACCGTGCCAGCCTCGCTCCCCTGCACTGGTGTGATCGACACTGATGTCAGGAACACTACTGGGATTCCTGAGGCAACTGACCCTTTGGACACCCTTCCAAATATTCCTCCAGAGTCCAATCAACCGCGGTCTCTAACTGTCGATGGTTGTTCAGCTGTTCTTGTTTTTCTTTCTGGAAGCGAAGTTCAAGGTATGTGTTCTTTATCTTTGTTTTGAGTTCACTTCATCTCTTATTTCGAGGCTTTGATGTACCCCTTTTTTGCAGATCTCTGTCGAGTATTGAGCTCTGCAATGCAAAGCAGGATCGGTGAGCCTTCAAACCTTGCTGGGCCAAGCGGCTCATCCACTGCAGCTAGAGCACCTTCAATGTTTGCTAGACCTATCAGGACGTCTACTCCAGTCGTTGAAGGATCTGCTCAGCCAAGCAGTTCAGCGGGGCCACATCAGAGTTTTCCTTTGTCTGATATTACGCAGATACATCATAATGGTAAGTTCTTTGAAGTGTCTGCCGACAATCTTGAATGTTTTGAGAAACTTTTCTAAGTAGAAGATCTGTCCACTTGATTTATTTGTTACTTTCTATTTTCAGGTAAAAGTGACCAGCCTGTGGTGGTAAATGATTCCGATTCGTCATTCCAAGATGAGGAACCTCGGGAGCGAAATGCATCACAGGCAAGAAAAAGCAAGAAGACGAAAGAAGATTGGCGAGAATCTCTCCCCTCAACCTCGTATGCAGGTAATTGTGTAAAGAGGCTTCTAAGTTCATTTAATTTGCATAGTTTAAACCTCTTTTTCTCGTGTTTTCTAGGCTGTGGGGATGAGAACCAACCGCCGAGCAAACGTAAGCCAGGGAGGCCTAAAGGGAGCAAAAACAAGTTGCCAAAACGTTGCTCTGCCGAGTCAGATGATAGTGAAGCTAATGGTGTGATGAAGTTCAGCCTTTGTTGGGTAGTGGGTTGGGTAATGTCAGGAAATTAATGTATTCATTTCTTCTTGTACTTTGCTGCCTACAGATGACCCCGTGGTGATAACTGATTCTGACTCATCCTTCCAAGAGAGGGAGCCTCGGGAACGAATTGCTTCGCAAGCAGTGAGGAACAGGTTGAAGACAAATTGGCGAGAACTCCCATCAACTTCATATGCAGGTAATTTATTGTGTAACTCACTTTGAAGTTCATATGCTTTGGATAAATTTTTAATTTTTATCTTTTATTTCTAGGTTGTCGAGTTGAGGACAAACCGCAAAGGAAACGTAAACCCGGGAGACCTAAAGGGAGCAAAAACAAGAAGCCTGCAAAACGTCGTTCTGCTGGGTCAGACGATGGGGAAGCAGAAGGTGCAATGAAGTGCCATATATGCAGAGAAGGGCATGAGAAAGGGATGTTCTGTATTACTGACTGTGGCCACGCTTTCCACAAAGAGTGTCTTCAAAGATGGGTGCTGACCTCAAACCAAAAGTATCGGTCTAAGAAAACTTGCCCATATTGTGGCGGTCCGTATGAAGAAGTAATCAACTTTTATGGCTAATATATATATAATAATCTCAAGTTTTAATGTGACTGGATTTCTGATAAGATCCTTCTAATCTAGCATTTTAATTATTTGTGTTAATGTTGTGGGCTCTTATAGTCCATATTCCTTGTTCCATGTACCTTTGTATCATATTGTATCATATTTGGTTATTTACCCATAATAATATGTATTCTTAATATGAATTCTTCATATGAATAAATGTTTTCCCACTTGCTCAATAATACTCTTGATTTAGACTGCTTCATCGATTGTCAGCTTCATCTACGATTGTCACCTCTCATACCATTTCACGTAATGAGACTCTGGTCTAAACTGAAGAAATTTGATATGCCTACAATAACAGGAACCATATGCTATTCTCAAGTGGTAATCATACAGGGGAGGTGGTCGTTTTTGTTCAGCAGCACTTTTGTTCCAAGACAAACTTGAACATTTATTTTTTTAAGTAACTTGTTTTGTAGAGGTAGGAGGGAGGGAAGCTAGTAGGAGGCAATTTGCCTTGAACCGTTTTTCAAAGAAAAAGATGGGTAAAAATATGTGTGGTTGATTGGTTGGTTTAATTTTACTACAAGAACCTTCTGCAGCTGCAGCTAAAGCTCTTTGTGGACACAGTAAAGATGCAGTGTCTCCCTTCCTTAACTCAAGCGGGTAGCAATAAAGACTTTTACAGCATGCACAGCAAGCAACTTGTGATCATTTTCATAGGAGGGTAGTTATTGTCAATGGAACTTGAATTGAAAAGCACTGGAAACATCTGAGATCAGTTCACCTCTGTACGGGTGTGCCAGGACAAAGAAAATGTTTGTGAATGCTTATCTAAATTTTATTACCAGAGCCTCTGCAGTTAATTGAAAAACTCTGCTGGCAACTATGTGTTCTCTTTCTTCTTTGAAGCACACGAGTAAAAAGCAGCAAGGCCTACAAGACCTGCCATTTTAATGTTTATATGCGATCAGCGACAAAATTCAGGTAAAATAGAAACTAAAATACTTCTAGACTACTTTAATTTATTTAAACATTTACACTGACAATATACGAAACAAAGAGGGGATTGAAAACAAATCAGATTTCCGGGCAAATGACAAGCTAAAAGAACAGAAAGCAAATGGCATTAATATCTACAAAACTTTCTGAAGCAGGCAAACAGCAAACCAAATAGAATTATAAGCACAGACATAAACAGCAACCTTGAGGCACTTAGTGACAATTTGACATGCCTTTAGTAGTGTTTGCTCTTTAGACTCACCATATAGGATCGACCAAAAAATAAAAGCAGAATCCAGGACAAAGGTGCTCGTCTGAAAAGAAAGGAAGCAAAAAAGAAACAGGCAACCATCAGTAAGGATGCTGACAGAACATAATGCAATTACCAGGGTGAAACATAGGATAAGTGTTCCTGTCACTCTCATTTCAGCCAACACAGCAGTTTTTTAAAGGATGGAGATGAGCCTTGACAGCAATGGAACACAGGACCTAACTGCTCTTACCTTCAAGGACAAGGAGCCAAGCCAACAACTGAACCGGTGTAGTCGAGGCAAACAAGTAAATGCGTAAGACACAGTAACACTTTATCGCGCTGTGCAACCGACAAATTCGCCATCCTTCCTCATTCGAGGCATTCAAACTCCGCGGCTGGGGCGCGAAAACAACCGAGCAGCTCGTCGGGTACGGTATGAAAAATTTCTAGGCCCTCAGAAATATATTTTGAATATTTTATAATATTTTACAATATTTTACAATATTTTATTAATTTTTTAGTTTTCCACCAAAATATATTTAAAAAAATAATAAAAATATTAGGGGGGTCCTTCCGGTGAGGGGTCCTTTAAGAATGTACCCCTAGTACTAAATGAAGGATGACGCAATCAAACTGAAGTTTGGTAAGTACATAAGTGACGTGCTAGATTTTTATTTTAATGTCAGAGCAGGTCCTATCTTATTGGACTAACGTAGTTCCTCAAGACTATGGTGATTTATGACTTCTCACTTTTGTTAGGCTAATAGTCGTTTGTTATACCTGTTATGTTTTATAATATATCTTCTATCAGGACTTCGTAAGAATAAATAAAGTAACTGTTTCTTTAACCATGTTTTACTGAATTGCTATTAACCTCTATTCTTTTTATTACAATCAATAAATTGTCAACAGTTGAGACGCCCAGCCCCTTCTTGGGGCACACTCAGAGAAACACAAGGAATAAAATAACGTATTTTTTAATTGCCATTTAAAATTTTTAACTACAAGCTAATAAGAAAAATGAGGGACATAATTAATGGTAGCAGTGTTACATCACAATAATATCACATTTTACAGAAAAGTGTACACGTCACTTTAATAATTAATACAGACTTAAAATTTTAAACATACGTTAGACATAAAACAAATCATTCCTTTCTTTGCCGTTTCCTGGGGGGGCCATACTCGCGAATGACGGAGCCTGCTGGCATGAAAAACACAACATGGACTAGTGGATGATAGAGAACAGAATTTTCAGAATCGTAAAGGGAATGACGTACATGGCTCAAGATCTTCATCCGATGTTTGTGTTTGGAATTCCCACTTTCCTTCATCTCCATGTGCCTCACATGCAGCATTGTAGTACTGTGTACCGTTGGTTTTGGCTTCTTGACGTGTCACTGAAACAAAGTTTGATTGAGATCAGATAAATAATTAAAAATATATTTCATCAGTAAGAGAAATACTCACATCCTGTTCCTAACACTACAGCCTCCTCGCCAAACCATAGGATCGGGTCGCTACTTTCGTAGAACCTCGTGTTTTGGCGTACCCTTCCGACCGTTTCAAACTTTCTCTTGTTGAGGAGAAGTATGAAGCAAAAAATTTTCGGTGCATCAGCGACCACATTGCAACAATTACCTGCAAACAAATAACATTGAGATTACTGATCTTATAGTATCGAAGAACACTAACGGTGGCAAGTGCTTGAGGCGTACGGAAACCGCACCTGTACAGTCGGTGAATGGATGACGACGAATAGACGGCTGACGAACGAATGAATGAGGGATGAGAGAGACAGATTGAAGCGGCGAGGTACGAGACTGGAATTGTATGGCGAATTTTGAGGACGAAGTGGCAGTGAGCTAGTATCGATACTGAACAGCAATAACAAAGAAATTTGTCATAGTGAGCTATCGAAAGGGAGGGCCACCGCCAGGGGCAGGGCCGACTGCCCGCTCAACAGAGCTGCTCGGCGGGATTGCCTACCCTCCGTTTCACAGGCGTGATGACCTCAAAACAAGGGTAGCGGTCTATAAACAGCATGGACCCACAGCTTAGAATATACGTACTTGGTTCGCCTATAAACTGCACAAGAAAAGTGTAATGTGAAAGGTATTCGATCTGATGCGGGTAATGCAAACCTGAATGCACTCTGTCTACGGCCAGAATGCAACAACAATCCAAGTTCACAACCACAGTGAGACTATAGTCGTTGCATGCAGCACAACTCTCTATGAACAACAGTTGTAAACAACAGATCCGAAGCACACTTACAACAACGATTAAAATGCAGTACAACTATAGTTTTAGGCACAGTTTGAGCCGCAGTATATTGAGTGCACTTTCGCATTCAGTTCAACATAGAAATAATGCATACTTTTAGTACAGTTCGGAGTGTAGTCGTAAAGTGCAGTTCGGACGCTACAGTTTTGACTGCAGTCAAACTACAGATCCTTCCACCCGGGCTAGGATAAGGCTCACGCTGTCCCACCCATGACTTATATCCTGTTTAAGGGGGCAGACCTGTGAAACGCAAGGGTTTGGGAAAATAGTAACTACAAGAAAACGAAGAATCGTAACGCTTTCAACGAAAGATATTTAGAAAAAGCAAGGATTCAGCTACGTTTTGATGTATACAACGTCTGCTTGCTTCTCCGGGAACATGCCCTTCTTTGTCTCGAAGTGGAGGGTTACGGGCCTTGACCGTGTGCAGGATTGCGCGACAACGGATGGACCTACAGCAACGACAAAAATACTCATTTACTCTTAAAAGATGTAGCTTTCGTTTGACGAGAGCGATTTTGAAATTTTTAAGTGTGTGAAAAAAATTCTTAAAGTTTGGGTACCTAAAATTTTGGTAAAAATTGGGTACTTTATCCCCTATTTCGGTACTTTAGAAATGTGATATCAAAAATCGCTCTCGTCAAACGAAAGGTACCTATCTAGGCTACAACCAGGCGAAGGGGCTAGGCTGTAGCTCAAAAACTGTGGCTTGGAGGCTGCACACGGTAACGCAAATCAGAAGTGGGAGAAAAACGCGTTTAAAGTTTTCAGTACCGATGTGCAACGACGAACCAAAAGTCGGGGCAACTTTCTGTGCTGGTTCTTAAAGATTCCGGGGCTCTAGAAGACTCCTTCCTTGTTGTGTGTCCTGTCCTGAGTGGCTATAGGCGAGCCCTATAGGGCCGATATAGCGGTCCAGCCAGCCGGCCGCCCGCAGCACGTTTTAGGCTCTCCTGAGAGCAATTTTTCGAATTTCGACATCCGCTTTTCGGCATTGGAAAGAGGAAAGATCAAAGAATTTTTTTAAGCAATAAAAAAAAGTGAATTTTTAAATGATTTTTACAGGTCTGCCCCCTTAATAAGAAGTAACTTGTTACGTAACAATGCCATTTTCTTCATTGGTGAATGTGTTGACTTTCCAGAATGTTCAATCCAGTGGTCCATTTAACTCTGAGACGGCTGCTGGGCCATCCCCCCCGCGCCCTGCAGCAGCAAGCAGGTCAACTAAGTCAAGCCCCTTCTCAGTTTCCGATGAGGAATTCGAAACAGAGGCCAGGGGCCAGCTGCCAGCTACCAATAGGAAGAAATCCCACTCCTTGAATAAGGGGATCAATAAGGCCGGGGCAGGAAGCAAAAAGGAGAGAACTGAGCAATCCTCTGCTGATCCTAAATTCTGTAAGTAAATTCTACCATTGCTGTCGAGCAGGATTGTTACAAGTTCTTATATTTTCGATTAGGAGTCTTGTTATTGTTGAGTACAATTTCAAAGATGTGGTAGAAAATTTTAGATAGGGAAGAATTGGTAAATCTAATTTACCTTGTAATAACCCTGTTAGCTTGTGCTCTGCCTGTTTTCAAGAGAAGTCCTTTACTTTAAGTTTTACCAGCAGCAGGAGCCTGTAATGACAGTGAGTCCGATGATAATCCGGATGAAATTTCCGATAACTCAAATGACGAGTCCATCGTTATTTTGGATTCAGACGATAAAAATATAGAAAATGTCAATGAAAATGTCATTGAAAATGATGGGCTCCCTGTTGCTGAGCTGAGAATGAAAGCTTTGAAGGATGTGAACTTATGGCATTGTACTGTTCTTATCCGATCAAATCTACTTGTAATTTCAGTTCTTCCCAATCGCGGAAGGAATGCAAGAAGCCAATGATTTCGTCATTCCGGCAAACTCACTCAGTGAAGGTATGTACAAATTATTTTTATTAATGACTTATTAGAGGTTTATCCATATTTCATCTAAGCAGTGTATTTGACAAACCAACCATTTGCCTGTAGATTGGTCCACAAAGTGCTTCGAAGACTATAGCTCTGAATCGTTTTTGGGCATACTCCAATCATGCCACTGCTTTCGATTTTGCTTCGTGTGCGCTGTGAGAGTTTTGGAGTCACTTGTCACTTGAACCCAACTGTCCCAGATGAAGGAGGGAGATTGTTTCTGTTATCTCTCAGCCTTTTCATAACTCCCTCCTCCAAGATAATTCTTAGTTGTACTCCCTTTTTTTAAAAAGGTATATTCTTGACATCAAGCTATGCTGTTCAGGATTTTTGGTTTTTATTTGTTATTATGCGTTTCTCACTTGTAGTGACTCAAGTGTTGACTTCTCACTTTTTCTCTTGTAACTGGTCTTATTACATTCATATTTCTGCTTGTGGAAGGAATTCAAATGTATTTTTAAAAGAAATTTTTGAATGTTTTTACTCGTTTTATAAACCACTCTGCATTTTGAGAACTCAGGCTCGAGGCCTGATCCCGGCTGCTGTGACGGAGGGTTTAGAAGGTTCAAATTCTCTCCTTCATTTATTTCATTTAACGTTTTCATAACCCTACCTTGCCTGTTATTCTGGCCTGCCATAAGAGGTGGTCTTGAAAACTTCAATTTTGGGCGTATTTTTTTCTTGACTAAACACGCAATTTTACGGCCCTCTGGGTAAAAATTTTAAGGAGAAGGCTCTATCTCAGCCGGTTTTCGAGCTACAAATAAATATTGGGAGGGAAAAGGTTGCTTAATTACTGCAATATAAAAACAATTCATATCATGCAAACCGGCAGAGATAGAGCCGTTTTGCTCTATCCTGTACCGTTTTGGCGCTATGGGGCATTTCTTGGTCGAAAACAACGTGAAAAAGACAAAATCCTCTACGTAATCGTTAAAAAGGCTTAATGTCACAGAATTGTAAAGGGATTTATACTTAAACCACACATTACGGGTCGAACTTCACCCTCTTTTGAGATTAAGGGTCCCTAGATTATCTAGTTTCACTAAAACGATGATTTTTACAGAACATTCTGTCAAAATTCGAACTTTTAATGAAAACCTTTATCGAACAGCAGACGTTTCATGTCCGTGATTTTTGAGTAATACGCCCCCGTCAAATGCTGTCAGTATTTTAAATGTTTGTGCCGGAAGGCCCCGTTCCTGCATACCCTCCCATTAGCTCGTCTCGGGTGTCAGCGTCGCAGGCCTAGCTATATGTGCGCCAGGCGCGTCGCAGCGTAACAGTGTTTCGTGAGATATCGCGAAGCCTGTTACGCGAGACGTGGTCTGGCGTACATATAGCTAGTCTTAAATTCAAAATACGACCTGGCCAATTCAAGAAACTTGTTTTACCGTGTAAATGCTCAGAGTCAGGGCCAGAACGCAGACGAGCAGTCTCACTTTGTTTGCCATAGCTTGTTAGAGAAGTATACCTCTACATACTTATGAAGATGCACCCGGACTAGAAAAACACGGATATTAAAAACCGTTATCTAAACTACCTAGTTGTACTCAACACCGCCTCTCACGCGCATGGCTTCTTAAACAGGTCGTGAAGTTTTTACTGGTAACGCGGCAGGCGACTATTTGTTGACTCAATTTCATAGGGTTTGGGAATTACACTGTTCCTTGTGCTTACACTCCCTAATAGAAAGTAGACATCTCATAGATGGCAAAAAAACGTCTAAGGATAGATGCCTAGAGACGTCAAATGAACATCTACTACAGACGTGTAATAGATGTCGAAAATGGCCGCGAAAATGAGATCTTTTGGACGGCCAAGTGTAGACATGGATTAGAAGTATGCAGTAAGAGGGCTTGTGGACGTTCACGCTTCGATTCGTTTTTAGACGTTGTGTAGACGTGAATTAGATGTCAGAGAATCAACGTTGGTGATAGGGCAATCCTGTCAAAACATCATGTCAAATCAATGCGATTTCCGTTTTCTTCTTCCCCCCATTCGTCTGCATTTTAGCTTTAACGAAATGCTTTATTACAAAAGGGGTAGTCCTGCCGCCTAGACGATTTGACGTGTAGTCAGTCGGAGACTTCGTCCCCAACCGTAGCGTTGGAAACGACATGCCCTTGTAGTAGTCGCCAGTAAGGTACCCCCCTACAGGCGCGCGGCGGCTAAGGAAGAAGGCAAGAGGCACAAAAGTGAGGCGCTGCGCCGCCGCTACGTGCTCCCCCACTTCTCGCTACGTGCTCCCCCACTCCCCGCTTCTGTGCTTCTTGCCTTCTTCTTTAGCCCCCGCCCGCGTGCCCGGAGCGGGGTACCCTATTCGAGCTCTCTAGTTAGTTGCAGGTGGTCAACTCAACCTTTAACGAAAGCCGGGCAGAGTACTTATATGCACGACCGAAATAATAACACATCCACACATTGGTTAAAACTCATTGAAAACAAAGATTAAAATCGGCTCAACAGCCACATGACTACCACATTCCTAGTGTTAGGGGTATCATCGACCCACACGAGGAAGCGCTGTGTACAGCAGGCCATGCGCAAACGGATCGGTCGTCACATTAACTGCTACTTTGTCCAGTGTCAAACTTTGTCACTTGTAGACAGTTACAGTATAATCCACTTTTAGAGGGAACTGTCTGGTAACAATCAAAGGGCTATCTCGGACGACTGGTAATTTAAACGTGATGCGAGGGATGGCGAAGCACTCCTCACTTCCAGGCCGTCGAACTATAAGGAGCCGTGGCGTCGCGTCCTCGATGATCACTTTTGCTCCATTCAGAAGTGAATCTTCTGAGTTCAAGTTTCTCGTGATCATACACTCCACACTAATTTTCAACTTTATCAAATGTGGTGGATCATCCGGTGACGTTGCTTGGTATAAAATGTGGTGGATCGTCCGATGACGTTGCTTGATATTAAAGATCATCGTCGAAAAACTGACCTAGTGGAGAATCTTCCTCTAGAACAAAGTCGGCACTGGCGCAATCGATTTCTTCCCCGTCCAGCTGGTTTAGCGCGCTCTCGTTTATATGGGCTACATCAACCAATATTGTGTGTGCCCAGAACGGTTGAATTCGCGCACTCGTCTGGTTCGACCAAAAGACGACGTGGAAAGACAAATACTTTGAGTTGCGTACGATCAGCGAGCATAGGCACGAGCGGCAGTCCGACAACGGTGACATCTTCGTCTGCTGGAATTCGTTGAGGCAGTGAGCCGTTGCCGACGTGCATGAGGAAGACAACATTACTATGTTGCGATTAATCGCCATCGCCACAACCCGCCTGCTGGCGAGGCACCGTCAAGTGTAAATGACGCAGCCGTCCGAACAAAGGGAACGAGCGCAAGGAAACATGACCATGTACTAGACAGTGTCATTCGAAATATGTAATAATGTGAGGTTAAGGCCCCTCGGCGAACCCGCTCGCTACCGTGGCATAAGCTTAAACTTAAAAGACCGCTTCCGCATTCTTGGTGTCTCTGCACCCTCTAAAGTTGTCTCTGAATGTCTCCGTCGTACATTAGGGGTTGTCGATCTGGCAGCACTTTCAATTTCAACTTTTGGATGGCACCAATAAAATTCGTTTTTTTGTGCTGATTTCAGAAATGACCTCGTTTTTGCGATTAGACAACGACTTTAAGGGGGCATCCTAGTGTAGCAGGCCCAAAAATACGTGTTTTTCGCGATTTTTTGTTTTTTAAATGGAAGAAAGTGGGGGAAAACCTACTTGTTGGGGTAAAAGTACGTAACTTTCTGTGTCCAAAACTATCAAGAAGTTGCCCGAACTCCCACGCATGCCGAAGAAACGGCCCGCCAACAAAGATGTGTCGCGAGTGTCGTTGTCGCACTGCGTACACGATAACTAACCTTCAAATGGTCCGATGGGGCCAACTCATGTGTCTGCGTGTTCTTTACACTTGCCGCTATCGCATGAACCTCGGACTTTGGAAACAAATGATTTTTACTATTTTTTTGAATACTCTAAACCTTTAGTTTCTAAAATAAGGGAAAAAATTTCAACTTTACGAATTTTTTTGATAAGGTTCTAGTTGCCTGAGCTCAAAACTGGAGGTTCATGCGATAGCCACACTATCTGAGAGCTGACACCAAAAATTTGAGCCCGATCGGACCATTCGTTCAGCAGATATCGTGTACGCAGTGCGACAACGACACTCTCGACGCATGTTTGTTGGTGGGCTGTTTCTCCGGCATGCGTGGGAGTACGGGCAACTTCTTGGCAGGTTTGGACACAGAAAGTTACGTACTTTTACCCCACCAACTAGGTTTTCCCCCACTTGCTTCCATTTAAAAGACAAAAAATCGCGAAAAACACGTATTTTTGGGCCTGCTACACTAGGATGCCCCCTTAACTCCTTACCGGACGTTTTACGCGAAAAAGCGGAGTTTATGTCCTTTTTGAGACTTTTAGGCCCCCGATAACATCTTGAACCGTCAGGGTGGCTGTTGCATGGTCGAGTGGTCACCTTTGGCAGTAAAGACATCCTTTGCAGCTCGGTCGAAGCACCGAAAACCTTTTAAGTGTGTCCCAGATCTCAATTTTTATGCCTTTTCCACTGAAAACTAATGGTTCTTTACCGATTTCCGAGCTTTCTGCGGCGTTACTGACGATTCAGTCAGTATGTACCATGACCAAAGGTGGTTAACAGGTGTACTGGGGTAGGAAGGACACAAACCAGCCCCCGGTCCAAGGCGGGGTTGCGCAGGGAAAGGGGTGGGGGCGAATCCCCCAAATCGGCCCAAATCAGCAGCACTTGCCGTGCGCCTAGTAAAAACGGCAATGCCGTGCAGGTCTCAGCTCAGCAAGTGTTTCTACCACAGCCTACCCAGGACTCACCACGAGAAGATGACTGCACATCGGGTCCCCCCCTCCCACCTACCCGGCCGTTAGTTTAAGTGGGCAGACCTGAGAAATGAAGGGATTGGGAGAATTGTCGCTACATAAATACTACACTCAGCATCGGTTTACAACTAAGGATCTATTGAGAGCATTGATGGACGCAAATTTTGCCGTTCGCGCCCTCTGCAGGAACATGGCCATCTCTGCCTCAGACTGGACGATGCAGTCCTTTTCGGTGTGCACGATTGTGGTGTGCAACAAATAGGTCTACGACTGTCAAACAAATTGCTAGTTACTCCTAAAATATGCCGCTAGTGGTTGACCTGGGGGTTTTAAAAATTGGGAAATGAAAGAATTCGAAAAAAATCACAAAGCACAAAAGAAAACAACTCAAAATTCAAATTTTTACGTATTTTAACATTGTGATTTTTGTCGAGTGCTTCCATTTCGAAATTTTCAAAACAACCAGATCAACCACTTCACTCCCCACCTAACTTCAGATATCAGGTAAAAGTCGAATAATGAATATATTTTGGAGCCATTTATTGCCTAATGGTGAAACGAAACTAAATTGGTGCATAATAATACAATCAGATCACAGGGATTTTCAATTCAAACAGTATAAAACAGTAAAAACAAACAGTAAAAATTACGCAGTCTTTGCAGGAGCCACAGGGCTGTCAGAAGCGTCCGTTGATTCCAATTCAGACACTTTCTTCAGAGTATGGTGTGGCTTATTGCTGCTGTCATCCGATGACGGAGGCGGAGCGGGCGTCTTCACGTCGGACTCAGATTCTGTGGAGCTACTAGAATCGTCGCTGTCGCCGTTGTGGGCCTACAGGGTGTTCTTCTTGTCCTCCTCGACACTTTCTCCATCCTCCTCCTCGTCTCCTTCCTCTTCGCTGTCGCTCTCCACGACCTGCAGCGCACTCCTGTAAACAAGTTAAAAATGATATTACAATTTTATCTTACCTGATTTATAGATCATTCGATCATACTTCATTGTCTGGGACAACATACTCACAGCATCTCTTTCGCTCGCCGCCGAACGGCAGGCGCCTCTCGTCCCCTGTGATGGCCAGCACCGTTAAGGACCTTAAAATATATATTTTATATTATTATATTATATTTGCTGATACTCCTAGCAGAGTATTCCAAGATGGCAGCGCGCACGGCTGCGCAGCACCTCGCTCCATCTCACTCTGTCTGCGCGCCACCTCACACCACCTCACCCCTGGTGGGACAGGATGCGTGCGGTGCGGGCTCGGCCGGGCCCATCCAAAACTATATAAACGTTAGGCCCTAACGCGAATTCTAGTTCAGTACGACTACACGAAATGACGTGTCCCACAAGCGGCACACGCTCATTAACTTAGAACAACACAGAATTCAGATCGCCAGTGGTGAGCAGAATTCCGACTGCCATTGGCGACCAGCGACCAGAAGGAGCCAGCCGCATACAAATACAGAATGTGGCTTTGCCTCGCCACATTACAGGAAACTGTTGTGGCTGTATGAGGAGTGCTTTGCCTAGCCATCGTACAGAAGTGTGTTGTGTCACTGTGAAAAATAGTAGGTAGGTTTACAGGAAAATTTTCCTTGA